CATCTCGAAATTCGCTCCGATCTAGTGCTATTGGGGCTAATAGAATACCGATCTGATTACATTCACGGCCCATTGCTCATAACTTTTCGAGAGTCACATCAGAGAGTAAGCGTGCAAAAGTGGACCTATCGCTCGTGAACCGCGTCCGGAAGCAAGTAAACTATACAAGATTCTCTTTCAAGGCACTGGCGTCTTGTCAACACCCCTGAACAAAGGCATTGTTCATTCTTTGTCCCAACCAAAGCTTTTCCCCAGGCTCTATGAACCACATAATGTGATGTGATCCTTCAGAATCCTATGAAGTTTTTCGGAAACGCCCACAACTTCTAGTATGAATAGGCTCATTTTGTAATGTATACAGCAAGCAAGCAGTTAATTCAACGGAGCTTCATTTTATTCGGTCCCGTCAACGAAAAATTAAGCTGGGAAATCCTGTGTGAAAAGCAGTTCGATTGTACATTTAAAGTAGTGTCGGTCCTTGGAGAAAAGTAAAACATCATGTTTATACTGCTGAGTAACTCGTTGATATCCTCAATTAATTTTCATCACAAGTTCAATTCGGTCATGATTCCTCCTAAAACAGCGTGGAAAATGATTGCAATAATCTCACTTTTATCGTGACTGGAAGTATAAAGTTTGCTTATTCAGCACTACTAGTTGATCCTATAGGCGCCCTCGTCGCATTGCGACGACTCCAGGGCAAACAGTGCGTGATTCCGACACTGTGCTTACTACTGACGCCACAAATCTTTCCTTGAACCTTCGAGCTTTCATCAGATAGCCAGGGAATGATTTGAACAATGGGTAGCGTAACGCGTCCTGCTCCAACCACTGCACAACTTATCGCGCGATCCTTGCGTTGGCACTGACCAGGGAAGTCCGCCAAATTACCATGGATTTTTAAGATCTGGGTAATCAATAGTGTCTATAAGGTTATTGACAAACATAGAAAGCAAAACTGCAACATGCAATTCACAAGCTCTCCAAGCCATTGAGTTGTGGCAGGGGTGAAAGTAGCGTAATGCAAACGAGCGCAGGTGGAGGTCCTTGCCGTGGTGAGCTGAGAAGCACTAGAGGACTCGCAGTGCATCGCAAACCGAGTCGTTGGTGCGCTTCAGTTGGCGTAAGTTTCGACGTTGACGATTCGATTCGGTATGCGATTGCTCGCTTGTGCTTCACAGCTCACTACCAAGCCTCCACCCTACAGCACCATTACAAATTTTACCTGCTCACAAGTTGCTTGCGAAATGGAGGTTGCAGTTTTGCTATCTATAATTGTAAATAACCTTACAGACATTACCGATCTACCCAGGTCTTCATTCAAAGTTCTATGGTAAGTTGGCGGAGTTCCCTAGTGAGTTACACGCTTTAGACTATGACGCAATTGTGCGCGCATGGTTTTCCAGAATGTTCTTGCGCGACACCTGCAAGGTGCCTTCTTTGCAGACTCCCAGTATGCCGGGAGTGGAGTTGCAATTAGCTGATCAAAAAGTGAGGCCTTCACTGAAGACTGCAACAAACATGGCCTCCAGTGTATGATAAATTGGCTTTTTTCCACCATGCACCACCGCTCATGATCCTATTGTGCTGGGGATCACTATGTGACGTGTTCACTGACCTCCTCTTCACACTCCTCATCTTCTTCCTTGATCAGCTTGTGCATAATTTTCTCTTCATGAGGAAGGAGTTGTATTGGCGAATTAAAATAGTACAGGGGTGAATATTCAAGCGAATGCTGGCTAGTGCATTACAAGTGTAAATGTCGGCCATACCATAACACGTGTGCACTATATATGGCTGTATGCAACAGATCAATACCAGGGCTTGATATTTTCCGGTCCAAATTGGCCAAGAATTGCATATTTGGTGCGCGAAAGGTGATATGGGCTACACTGGATAACCTAGCACAAAATCGGGGTCAGTAATTGACAAGGAGGCGGCAACATAGGCGTCAATCTATTAGAGTTGCTAGCTACTCTCGATTGCTCGCTCAGTGCTTGTGCTGCACCCATGTGATCTTTCGCCCGGGATTCCTAGAACATTTCCTGTCTTGGAAAGCTGTAGCGCAGGGCACCACTTTAAACATTTATTGACGCGATTTCCTTCGCTTTTCGGGCAGTCTAGTAACATAAAAAAACTTTTTTTTTGTTTGTGCAACACATTGACATCGGGACTTACCACCAAATTCTGTCTTCCATTTGTTACTGAATGTGGATATCCTGTGACTTACTTCTTCAGCTGGGAAGCGAAGTACGTCTGTCTCCAGCCACACCTCAGCAATGACCCCATTGAGCCATAATCTACTTCCATTTCATCCGTAATTCTCTAAATGTGCGCTTTGGGCGAAATTCGGCTTGAATGAGGACATATGTACACACCCCTATTGGGCAGTGATAAGAAAGAGTATAATGACGTCCACAGTGATTGCCACCGGATGACACTTCATTTCCTTGCGAGTCGCGTAGAGCACGTTGACTTTCTAGAAGCTGCATCTGCATACGGCTTATGAATCGAAGCCGATGGTGATTGATCTGCGAAACCTAACGTGCTTTGATCAATGATGATTTTAGCTGCCATTCTTCAAATTTTGCTGTTGTGTACATGGAGCATGCCAGAATTTGTGAGGTGCTGTGACTGTGACTTATGCCAGCAGCAACTCCCCGGGTCCAAAGGAATGGTGCACTAGGTCAAGTAATGAACCGAATGCTCTGTGGAAAAATAGTCTTCTGAGCTTGAGTTTCATAAAAGATGGTTCAACCATCCCTGAACCCTTCTTAACACTCTACTCCACCTCACCTAGGTGGAATTCATCTCCTTCTGAATACTTCGGCCTGACAAGGAAAAAACGTTATTGTCGCTCCACGAGATGTCTCCATCAATGCTGCAGGCCTGGGAATGCATCAATTCCCGATGAACATTGCTTATTGGGGATTACTGTTCTCATCAAAATCCACATTGCAATCAAGGGCTCCTTGTAGCGCTGGCACAACAAATCGAACTGTTATCGTTAGTGTATCATCTTCGCGTTCATTTCCGTGCCCGATAGCAGTGCACACACTAATCCAAACAGAAGTTGGAATGAAGTGGGCTTCATAATGGAAATGAATTTCAAACCAGTAGTGATGGGAAGTATGACTCACACTAATCTCTTTGAGGGTTTCTTTCTTGACAATGCCTTCAGCTGATTCGGATACTAACAGGCTACTGTTCAGAGCCATAAGCTCTTTGAACTTCTCTCTCTGCGAAGACAATACCTGAAGAAAACAATACCAATATATGGGTAGCATTGCAGAAGTTGTTTCCCAGAGAATGCTCCACGTATTCTGCAGTCATTCAAAATCACATCTACATAGAAAAGCACATTTATTACACGAAGAGATAGCAAGGGCAAGCCGATCTTCAACTTCTTCGTGACAAGAGTTTCCGCCAGTTATCCAACCCTAAAGTTAATTCTAGCCAGGCGTGCAGTGTATCCATGGAATATGCATATAATAGAAGCGTTTTTAGTGGAGTTTGACTGCACCTTCGAAGAGTGTTCTAACGATTTTCAGTATGTCCAGGTTTTTTTTACTTTTCTGCTTACATGGAAACGG